TTTTTTTTTTTTTTTTTTTTTTTTTTTTTTTTTTTTTTTTTTTTTTTTTAATTAGTGATGTTTTGAATCAATTTTGATGGTTTTAAGGTTACCACAATTAATTTTATAAAATACATAGAAATAGAATTTATTTTCATAAAATCATGATGATGACACATGAAACCTTAAACTAAACAGCACTAATCCACAAAGAATTAAACATTTTCTTTTCTGGATCCTAAGTTGATAGGAGTGATAATTACAGACAAATTCAGCAGAGGATTTGGGGAGTTCTATCCTTCCCTTCACTGCAAATATAAGAAACAAAAAATCCAATTGAGATTTTGCAGAAATATGAACAGAAAAATAAGCAAAATGATGAGTTTTTATACCTCAGGGTAGCAATCTTGATGTTCAATCGTTTGTCTTTTTGTATTCACAAATACATCACATGATACTCTTGCCTGATAAGTAATAAAGAAGAACACCATTGAAACAACAAACAGAGCACTCATACACAAGTATGTAAGCTGAAGGTCCGAGTTTGGAGAACGAGGCTCTAACCATGGAAAGCCACTGCTAACAAATATTGTCTATTTTGATTCATTACATATCGACGCCAGTCACAATTTTAAACACTTGGAGAGGTTTTTACACTCTTGTAAAGAAAGTTACATATTGTCTAAAGAAAACAATATCGGCTAGTGGTGAACTTAGGCAGTTACAAATGGAATCAAAGTTAGGGACCGGGCGGTGTGCCAACAAAGCCGTTGGATTTCAAAGGGGTGGATTGTGAGATCCCACATCCATTAGAGAGAGAAACGAATCATTCATTATAACGGTGTGGAAGCCTCTCCCTATTAGAGGTGTTTTAAAGCCTTGAAAGGAACGTCAAAACAGAGAGTCCAAAGAAGAAAATAGTAGCGGTGGGCTTAGGCGGTTGTAACGAGGGTGGGTGGGAATGAGGAAGCAGACATTATAATCATAATCATTGCGAGAGTGGAACAACATTGTTCAAATTTAGAATCCAGAAGAAGGTATATCTTCTTCAACCATTTCCCCACAATCAACAGCAGCAAGTATCAAACTTGATAGCATTGTTTTGAAAATTACGCCTATTTTTGTACTGTAAATTTCACCTATCTTTGCAGGATCAAGAAATGGGTTCTAAACATTCAATGGGTCACCCACAAAGTTTGTCCTTTTCCAACTATCTGAACTTCTACACTAAGAGAGGTGTAATAGTTGCCAAAACTGTATACATCATTTAAATCTTAAAGCGTGGAGATTGAAAATGATTGCAATCAAATAAACAAAAGCTATAATGTATGATGACGATGATGATTTCGATCGTTGACTATACTTTGCTTGAGAGTTAAGAACGAATCGACAGTGCATAATCGGAGTAAAGATTTGATGTAATGTTAGAAACAGAATGTAAATCAAGATTACCTTAATGGGGAATTTGATAAAGAAAAACCCCATGAATCCTTCGACTTCCGTCTTTGAATCGAATGGAATGATACCTTTCCCCAAATCCTGAAGCAAGTAAAAGGCATCGTGAATGACCTCAACTCCATTCAAATCCACAGTGGCATTCACACAAGAAGACCCTCGAGCGGAAACTCGACCGCCGTCGGAGCTGACAAATCCAAGTCGACTTCCTCTGTAGCCAACGGAAACGCCAAGGTAATTGTAATCGAGAGAGAAGAAGTTCTTATTGCGAACCCTAACAGAAGCAGAGATAGAAAGGTCAAGGACGAGAACCGGCAACAAACGGACTTTGGCGTGGTTGAGTTTCAATCGGACGAGTTGGAGCGAGGGATCGGAGGGGAAGAGTAGAAAAGATAGAGCGGCGAGGAGGAGGAAGGCGGCGGAGTATTGGGCACAGAGGCGGAGAAGGCGTCTATGTGGGTATGGAGGAGGCCGGTAAAGGGACAATAGGACGAGGTTTTGGTGTCCGTGTCCGGCATTTTGGGGGAGGAGAGAGACAGAATCGTCCCTGGAGCTGGAAGTCATGTTTGGTTGAGAGAATTAAAAAAGGGAAGACATTTGTATGAAGCTCTGCAAACAGGCCTCTGTTAAGGGTGGTAGGTAGTTTAGCCTGTCAAAATTTTACACGTCACAACACAGCGTATACGCAAAGTTTCAAATCCTACAGTACCATCAAAACCCACCGCATAATATGACGCCCAACAGAATTGGCCTTTGTATGAACATGAGTGAGCCTGGTCGATGGCAACGGAAGGAACCGGGATGAGTGAGCCGCCCCGGGCTGCCATTTTTGCAAAGCATCTGGGAAACCAGAAACAAGGGTTCAATTTTGTTGGATAATGAGTTGGGTGAGTGCAGAAATTGAAGCTAGCCGTCGTTTTCGAAATGGCCGAAATGGACTGTTTGCAGTGCAGCTGCGGCGTCTGGGATGAACAGTTCCTTTTTCCTTTCTCTTTTTTTGTTTCACATTTTCTGCAATCGAGGTCCCTCAAAAACACCCATTTAGTTTGTTTTTGGATTCTTTTATTCATCACTCTTCCCAAGTCACATGGGTTCCAGCAAAAAATCACGACTTGCAAGAAACACAAGGGAAAAACCTCAAGTGAAAAATCAGTATCAGAATTTTGTCTCTTTTTCTTTCACTGATTCAACGAGATTATAAATGAAATGAAATTGCTTTTGATTTATTTAGACCTTCTTAGATGATATAAAGATATAACTTTGCTTCTTTGTCGGCCAGAAATTCAGCAACTTTCCATTAACAACACAAACAAGTGGAAAACAACAAATTTTGCAAAATCTAGATAACTTCGTGGACTGGTACAGAGGCGTGCAATGTTCAGACCAGTGCTTTGAGAAACTCGCTACTTTCTTCTTCTTCTTCTTCATTACCACATTCAAAACATACCCACCACCATAGAAAGTTAAGTTTCACAACAAAGCTGTAAAGAAAACTCTGGCATCACACTAACACTAAACGTGTCATTGAATTACATTACCATGAAGGTGAAGTACAGGGAGAACCAGAGGAGGAAGATGATAGACCATTGTTAGTGTTAGAATCACTCCCAGAATTCCTCAGAGACGTGGCGTCTCTCAATGTAACCGAACAAGCCTCGGCTGGAAGCTTCTTCATTGGCGTTAAAGGTGGTGTATTTGGGAGCGAACGGATAGTACTTGGAGGAGAAGCTACAATCTCGTCTTCTTCAGAAGAACCACACGTTTCCAATCTTGAAGGAGAGGAATTTGGTGTTTCGAATGGGGTGTCTCCTCTGCTTGGCCTGATTCCATCATTGTCATAAATCGGATTTGAAATGTACATAAAATGGTCACTGCCAATGGAAGAACTGTCGTTACAGGCAATGGCAGGGCTTAATTTACTCTGAGCACAAACTTTAGAAACAGATAGGTCAGGTGAGGCTGAGATAAAGGGTGACGGCGGGCGGGATGGAGTTGAAATGAGGCCGATTCGGTGAGGGCTAAGGGATGATTCATGGGCATCAATATCGATAACTCGATGAAGTTGAGTGCTTCGGCTCTTTGCTTCAACAACATCTACATTGTTGTCTTTGATACAGGGGACAGAGGGGAAAAGAAAGTTTCTTGGAGCACTAAGAACCCCATGAGCATACAAGCTGCTAAGAGAAATAGCTGGTCGGTTGTTGTCCCTGGGAGCAGCTGAAGGCAGAGACTGGGAAATGTTGGTGGCGGCTACAACAGGATGAGCGGAGGAGGTGGTGGAAGTGGTGGTGGGCGGTGCAACACGAAGCCTACAGCGTCGGAGTAACAGAGAGCAGTAGAGCTCGGCAAGCAACACAAGAATAAGGCCCAACACGAAGGCAAGGCTCACCACCATTATCAGTGTAGCTCCCAATATCACCTTGGAACTTCCCTGCATGTTTCTCTATCAAACTCTCTCACTCTCTGAATCTCTACAAAGTAGTTAAAATCTGAAGGGATGGCGGTAAATACGAGGGTGCACTCAAGGAAGGGGAGAGGGGTATTTTATTTTTGGCGGGAACTTTAGATAGAAAGAGAGAGAGAGAGAGAGAGAGAGAGGGCAAAGGGAATCTTATGGTGTAGGGAGAGGACTGACGAACGGGAAGGCTTTTATGTTCCGTATCCGAGATGGAGGATCCACACTTTCAGTCATTCGAGGTAAAAAGGGTCTTTTAACCAATACAGTTTTCTACCATGAAAAACCTCTGCAGAAAAATGGTCAAATGTCAATGTCTCAATGATGTTGTTGCGTTCAATCTTTAAAAGAAAACCAAAATGTCTGCAAGAATATAAAGTTCGGTCCCATAATGTTAAGACATGAAAGACGCGATAGGGATGTGTACAGGACTCAGAAGCAAGATGGTTTTTTAAATAAAGAATAAGACACTTGTTCCCTTTGAATGAATGGGATAAACAGGGAAACCTAAAAAGTATGAAGCACAAGACTAGCAATCTCAACACGAAAATGGGGTCGATCTACATTTGGCTATCAACATCGGTATCATTTGAAATTTTGAGGTTGTACAAACGCTATTACGGGTTAACAGTATACTTCTTCAAAAACTAGTGATGACCATCGTATGTGAGATTCGACAGGATGCAGCAGCCCCCACATACACGTAAGGGCTATACACAAATGTTCGTGTGAGAGGCAACCAAAAGAGAAGACACACTTGGAATGCTTGATTATGGGCGCATCACCAGTTCACAGGCGATCTCAGAGGATATGTAGTGTATAATGAAACTGTTTACCCTCCTCTCAAGGCTGCAAATCGAGCAGCCAAATCATCATAGTCAGGCAACTTCGGATGGACGTGTTTAGCTTCACTTGATCGATCTGGTTGAAAGGAAGCAGCCCGAGTATATACTTTTGTTGCTTCTGATGGTCCCAGATGATGTTCACGAGGTACCGAAACTGATCGTGCTGGTGGAGGAACTGTATCTGCCTGCATATTAGCCCCATCTCTGCTTATTTTATTTGAAGGGCACTTGGCAGGAGCAAGATGAATTTTAGGCTTCCTTCTCATCTTTCCTGGTTCAAATGTTGCGGGTTTCTTACTGTAATGGATCAAAAGGTTGTCTATTATCCTTTCTTCTTCATCCTTTTCATTATCCTCTTCATCAACCAACAGCTGCAAGCCTCGTTTATCATCTCTTCTCCTTCTCGAATTCTTTCTCACCATTCGAATGTCCTCAACATTGTCATCAACTGCATGACTGGACCGTGGCTTATGGTGCCTTCTTCGCACTGATTTTGGTTTTGGCAGAGCATCAGGGGGTATTCTAGCACCAAAGACATGATCCATCTCACCATCCCGATTACGTGTCTTCATAGGACTAGCAACCTGCCTCTCATGGTCAGAATGGCGTGGTTCTAACTGGATTACATCTGCAACCATTTCCAATTTGACATGTTTCTGAAGATCTGTCGAGATGCAATTGTTGTCATGGCCTGTACGGGATAATTCCAATTGGCCCCTATCCTTATTATCCTTCCTTCTAGAGTTGACTTTATATGGAGGGAGGGTACTGTTGTAGCTGGGTTTCAAATTATGATGTTTATCCTCCTCAGTATGAGTACTACCAAATATTGATTCTTTAACATCACTCTTAAATGGCAATCCTCTTCCCTTGTGTGCAGTATGGGTATTACCAGATGATGCCTCTTTGATGTCACTCTTCGGGTGCAATCCTGCACCACTCAGAGCAACACCTGGATTATTGTAAGGCGAAGACTTCAAGTAATTTGCACCTGCCCGTTCTCTGCCAATATGCACAACAGGTCCATCACCTGCATCTCCCAACACTTCACTGGAAGAACTGCCTATTGTACCAGTAGTCCTGAAGGCAGAGCCTCTCATTACGTTTCTAACTTCATGCTTAGTAATAGGAGCAGGACCTGGATTATGGTAGGGTGAAGAGTTCAAGTAATCAGGACCAGTCCGTTCTCTGCCATTATGCATAAATGGTCCTTCTTCAGCATTTCCTAATACTTCACTCGAAGAGGAACTTCCCATTCTACCAGTCCTGTGGCTAGAACTCATTGTCCCATTTCCACCTTCATGCTTATTGACTGTGGAACCTTTAACTCCATAATGATTTATGTGGCCATCAAATTTCAAGTTTGCCTCTTTTTTTTCATGTACTCTCTTCTCGTGTCCATTATGCACAAATTGTCCTTCTTCAGCATTTCCTAATACTTCACTCGAAGAGGAACTGCCCATTCTACCAGTCCTGGGGCTAGAATTCACTGTCCCATTTCTACCTTCATGCTTATTGACTGTAGAACCTTTAACTCCATAATGATTTATGCGGCCATCAAATGACAAGTTCGCCTCTTCTTTTTCATGTACTCTCTTCTCGTGTCCATTTCCGGGTAATTCTTGCCTAGATTGAAACTTCAATTCTTTTCCTCCTGAAATGGTACTATCAGGGGGATTGGGGAATCTGTGCCTGCCATTTGCATACTCAAAACTTTCTTTGTTTGATGCATCATCCTTACCCACCCTAAGATCAATTTCCTTAGTACGAGAAGGACTTTTTTCTACTGCTTTAGGTAGGCCCTGCAAAATTCAGAGACGAGAAGTTCAAATGTAGGCAAAAATCTAATTATTTCCCATTGCAACTTGAGAATTATAATATATGACAGCTAAACTGGTGAGGACCAAAGGCACCACTCAACTGAAAATTTTAGGAAACTGGAAATTAAAACTTTCAATCTCGTTTCTTACATGGTGGGAAGTAGTAGTAAGATAAGGGGATGAAGTGCACCTGAGCGTTGGCTGGGGGAGTGGACATTCTCTTCTCAAAACCCGCAGAATCCCACTTGATTGAAAATTCCAATGCTATGTCTTGCAATAACTGAACCCTGTTCTCCAATGTGGACGGCTTGGAAGCTAAATTTTCAACAAACTACAGAATAAGAATTAGTAATTGTCTCTCCAATAAGAAAGATTCAGGAAACCTGAAGTCGGTAGTTGAGGCATTACCTTTTGGTTCTTCAAATGTTCCAAAGAAGTCCCAAATCTCTCCTGAAAAATTTGCCTGAGATCACGCAATTCTGGCAAATCCGAAAATCTAGCAGCGGCGAACATGAGAGATGCAATAGCCTCACGACATTCCTCAGGACATTCCCTGTGAAGATGATGAACAGAGGGAATCAGATTATCCAATATAAAACCAGAAGCCAAATTTCTATGATGAATATAATTTTATCTAGAAAACTATAAAAGCAACAATGGTAAAACGACATGAAGTGTTTTTTGAATGATAGGAAGGTATCTTCCCAGCTAATAAGATGTCCAACAAGATTTAACGAACTCCAGAAATCAATTAAAATCAACCTACCATTCATCCATGGCTCAAGTTCATCATGCATGCCAGGCACCTCAAATTAACATGTCATCTCTAAGTCAATAAAGCGCAATAAATTTTACGGTTTGATAGAAAAGCACAACATACAGAGTGGGAAAGAAAAAAGAATGGTGTATATCATACCAATATCCAAGGACCAGAAAATCTAAGGGGAAAAATAAAAAAGCCAGCTCTGAAATTTGAAAAGAATGCATGTAATGACATACACTAATATGTGCACTAAAATTGAATCAAATCGTGTACCCTTAGTTCCCAATGCTTCTGTATTAACACAACACATAAGCATGATTCAATACCTCTGCTTTTGCATGATCGGAAGATGCTTCAGCACAGTATCACATGATTGCTCCACGAAATCATAACAGGAAAAAATTGTCAGCTCAACTAGAAGCCCCTCAGCCTGTTGTCCACCGCAAGATCAAAAAAAGAAAACATCGGTTTCTTAAAGCCAATCACTAGCTGAATACCACAATAGTTATCATAATAATCAGAGAAAATATAGAAAGGGGAAGCCCGGTGTGGGAGGAGAAAAAGAGATAGAAGTCCCCACGAATCAACAAAGGTTCTAATTTCTAAATCAAAGACCCAAAATGGAATTGAAAATTGTTAGAAATAGATATGGTTTGCAGACGTAAATTTACACTTGGACAACACTACAAAAACAGTACATTTAAAAATTAAAAAAAATAAAATAATAATAAAAAGAAACCATGCCCTTCATACACTGACTTGTTTGTCCTCGAACCCTAAGAACATCAAATCATTTTTCAATTCAACCAAATGATCAGAAGGAAATAATCATTTCACACAAAAATTGAAATGAAGGAAAAAAAACAAACAAAGTACCCTTCCATAAGCATTAATGTCCAGCCCATTTGTGAGCAGATCAGCAATATCTTTCTTCAGAAATTTCAGAGTCGCTTTCTTCTTTCTCCGTATCACATCGATCCGACTTTTGGTCAATTTAATCAGGGATTTGCTACAAATATCAAGAAACAAAAACATCCGTCCTTTAAGCTCCAAAAAATAAAAAAGGAAAAACCACATAGTCAAGATATGAAAAACAGATCGGATTAAATACCATTTGGATGTAAATCCCCGGCCGAGAATCCCATCCAACATCTTTCGGTCCTGAATTCCCTTCCAGTCTTCAAGCAATAAACCTCAGGCCCCAAATACCAGAGGAGACATCACCAAAACTGGAAGAGAGATAGAGAGAAAAGAGATAGGAAAAGAAGGAGAGAGATCGAAGCTGGGCAAGACGAGAAAGACGACGAAGCTATCAAAAACTCCACTGTCACAGAAAAGTTAATCTTCCTAAAGCGACTCGAGTGAGCCGTTCACCTTTTCAATTCTCTTTCTCAAAACACAAATTACCCATTGACAGCAATACCCTCGTCTTTCTCACAAAAGTCACAACCCCTCACTAATCCGCATTATAACGTTGGAAGGGCATTTTCGGAGTTCAAATCCTCTTCTTCGACCCACCGTAAGAATCGGCGAGTGAAGATGAGAGAGAGAGAGAGAGAGAGAGATTGTGGCCGTTGGATGAGATGACTTTCTGGTTTGGGTAGTGAGTATTGATGCTTCAAAAATGGGTTTAAAAAACGGCTGCGTTTTTCAAGCCGATGATATTAACAAAAATTTTAAAATTTTATTGGATAAAAAAAAGAAAAAATAAATTATAAGTGGAGAGAGACAAAAGCTCGGCTTCGTGGGCTTGTTTTAAGCGTTAGGTTGGGTAAGCCACCGGAGTTGATTGACGACATGTGAGCTGCACATAGCCGTGTGCCTATTTTTATTCCCCTTCCTTTTTTGACGTCGTTTTGAAACTGATACTGAAAGAGTGTACTTTTCTTTGTAATTTAAAGCTCTTCTTATCCTTTTCTACCGTTTTCCTCAAATAATGGCCTTTCAAGTGTACATACAGAAATTTGATACAATCAAACAAGTCAAATAAGTTTGACCTACCATATTAATAGGCTGACTTACCCATAATAGACCAATTAGAGGGGCAACACAATTTTGTGTGTAACAATTCAAGCTTATTGCCTGTAGCTTATAGATTATTGTCCGTTTTAGTCTCTACATATCATCATCAGTCTTACAATTTTAAAACATATTTATTAGAAAGAAGTTTCCTCACTTCTATAAGAGATGTTTCATTCTTTTCTCCAACCAAGATTCGAAAGGAGGACCGAGGAAGCAGATTTGGCTACCCTTTACACATTTGAATTCCAACGTGCCATTTATTTAAACCAACAAAAAGAAAAGTTTAGAACAAGAGAAATGGGTTGATTCAGAGGTCTATTCGGCAGGGTAATGCTCATAAAATAGTGGAAATAAATTTAATTTTAAGTCAAAAGAGTGGAAGACAGAAAGGGTGGAGCATGCGTGGCCGCGTCAGCATAAACACCTCACCAACCGCAAATTTTATCCAATAAATGATTGGAAATTGTTACCTTCCCAAACAAATCAAATAATACTATTAGACTTTGCAACACATAAAATAAAGATTCTGAAAGTTCGGGTTAATGTCAGTGTCGTCATATGGCTTAACTACGAAGCTTTTGGTCATCCAGTCTGAGCACCACCCCCACCACATTATATGGTTTAGACTTTTTTTAAAGGATTTAAAGAACCTTTGAAATGAAAATTGGTTAGAATCTTAAATAAAAAAATTGAACATGACACTGTACTTCTACGAAGCTTTTTTGTTTCACAATATTCATCTCGTCTATACAGACTAAGGACAACCCAAACATGCGCGTGACTAAAGGTGAGTGAGGAAGAAGCCTAAACATCATCAAACGATCGAAAGAAAAAAGACTGATAAAAAAGTATACAAGTACTAAGATCAATTAAGCCATGAATTCGGTTGATTAGACATGCGTTGAAGAAGGGGAATTGGGGGAGTGGACACAGCACTAACAAATTATGAACAACAAAGAACCATTTACCTAATGACAACAGGGAAAGCAAGAAACATAATATCATTTTATTGCAATTTTCAGTCCCAAGCAAAGTAGTTTTCGAGAAATAACCTTCAAAATAGTGCTCCAATGGCATCAGAAAGGCCGGATGTCGAGTGGGGAAATTCATGAAATGGGTCGCTGAAAAAGATGTGCCCTTATCATCATCATCTTCTTCTTTCTTCACCAAAAGCACTTCAAAAAGTTGACCAGAAAATGGAATAGGTAGTTTTCACGGTCAAGAAGTTCATGACGAACCAATCTCTCCGAAACCATATGCTGAGGGAGAACGTCACTGTAAAAAAGCAAGGTTGAGACAGAGGCTACAGGCTGGACAATTAGCGATAGCAGCAGCCTTACCAGTGACCTGAACAGAAATGGAGTAAGATTCTGCAACCGGAAAAAAAAAGGAGAAGGTTGTTTAATACTACCTGATAGTTGAGGATATAAAAAGAAACTAACCCAACTATTGAATATCAGATACCTACGTTCTGTTGTCATCAGAAAAGGATAGAAATTGAAGAATCAAGAAAGATTGGGAAGTTAAAGTTGATAGTACATACCATGAGTTGAATAAGAGAGGAAGCCAAAGCAGATGCTCTGCCGATGGATGATCCTTCAAATAGAGAGAAAGCGAGAAAGGAAGCACCTGAAAGAAGCTGCAAATCATCAACTGCTGACACTGGGACCTGCGCACTATCAATATTTCTGGCGAGGAATGCAAGTTTGACTTATTTCCAAAAGTAGTTAGTTTGTAACCAACGAATTTTTAAGTACTACTTCTATTATGCATTCTCCAAAGTGAGAACCACTATATACTACATAGATAGTGGTAAGCTACAAAGTCAAAGGCTACATAAATCTAGCCCCAATTGTTAAAATATGATTCAGAGTGCAAGAAGAGTGGATAAGAATACCTGATTCAACTGCCCTTCATCCCTGCTGATACCGACCAGCCTCTAAGAAGAGGAAACACTGTTCTCTAATGATTAAGAATTGCATTCAGTCATATTCTTGGAAAACAACAAGAAGTTACGTTCAATGTGAAAGAAAAAAAAAAGCCAGTTGTTACAAATTATTCTGGGATTTGTCTGGTTATAACGTGAAACGCTCTTGTGATATCCTGCTGCAGCTTCTAGAGATTTGCTCTTAAACAACACTCAAACATAGAGTTGAACCATACAAGCATGGACTAGAAATCGGAGACAAGGCATATCATTCATGATAATTATTCATAAAATACATTGTCTGAAGTGGGGGATTGAAACTCTAGAGAATAGGAAATCCTATTCAATATCAGTACAGAATTGCAATAACAGTAGTAGCACTCAAACATGTTTGGGTCAAGGTTGAATATCTCAGCTCATCATCCCCTTAGGATTTCTAATGCTTTCAGCCTATCAAAAAACAAAGTGAAAATGGAAAAGAAGGAAGGAACTCAAGGAATTATTCAAAAAGACTACATCTACTGCTTCTCAGGCTCATCAGGATTTTCCTTGTCAGGATTTTCCTCTTCTTCCTCTTTCTTCTCTTCCTCCTCTTCGTCTTCTTCAGGGGGATCACATGGCAATGGTGGTGGCAATGGTGTTTTCATGGGGCTAAATTGAGGAAAGATGTCTGGTCTACGACCGGGCTTAGGCCTATCCCACTCCTACAACCAAAAAGTCAAGAAGCATTCAACATGAAGAACACCAGCTATAACCTATCACGCACTTCACCTATAAGTGAACTTATCAACTAAAACTTAGTTTGTCAGGTAAGAACATCAGTAATTCCATATTATAAACTGAATTGACCGCCAAAAAATGCACCCTAACAAATAAATTCAGGAGCAGTAACAAATTTATGAACAACATAATAACATGAGTTTTAATTTACAAAAGCGTTAAAAGTAGAAATCCCGGAGCAGTACAGGAGACAAATTGAACAAACAGATATCACGCATCAAATGAATGCCATGAGATTTACTAGAATCCACATACCCAAGACTGTATTTGCCATTTGCCAATATCTTCTTTCATCTCAGGTTAACAACTACAGTGCATTGAACATTGATAACCCGAAAAGTATAGTCCATTCTCTCGCAAAATATGCGACAATATGAATAAACAAACATTATGATGGTCGATGCCCCTCGTCTTAAGATAGATACAGCCCACTTTATCTAGAGCTCGAGGATGGATACTTCGCAAGGAAAATGTAGAAATGACCGAAACTATCAGCAAGATACAATTTGCAGGGAAGACATGGCAGGATATGTCAAGAATAAGCCTTTTAAACAACCATCGATGATAAAATTGAACAGTAAATGTATCAAATCCTAGGAAATTCTCCGACGCTCCACCCTAACTGATCCAACATTACACTAGCCAAGTTACATAAAAACAGAAAGCAGAATCTCCATCCATGGAAAGCAAAAACACAAAAATCCCATGAAAACAAACCGAACAACGTCAAACACGCAGGGAAATAAAGGAGAGCGAGAAAGTTACAATCGGGAAATCGAGAGGATTGCGACGAGTAAGTTTCTCTTCCTCCGGGGCCATTCGAACCACCAGCCTCCCCGTTCTCCTTTTCCCAATTATCAAATTAGAATTCGCAATTGGCCTGTTTGGGAAAGAGCATCTGCAGCCACGAACACAGAAACTATGGCTTGTAGATGAGGAGGATACTTGTAGGTAGGCCGCCGACGGCAAAACTAGGGTTTTAGAGCTGAACAGGCAAATCGACGCCATGATCTTTCTCTTCCCCTGCAGTGAATCCTCCTCGTCAGGTCGGGACCGAGTGAAAATTGTGGTGGCTGATTCCCCAAAATCAAATAGCCGCCACAAACGCCTCTTGTTTTCTTCTCCCCAAAATCAAATAGCCGCCAACTCAATTACCCTTTACAATTACCAAAGAATCAAACTCTGAATTATTTTACTGCTTCATTTACCATTAAGATAATTAAAACACATGGAGACTCCATTTGTTCCACTTTTATCCTCCCAAACACCTCCCTTTGAACAAAACACGCCTCTAATTACTGCCTTCGTACCTTCGAGGAGGCTTAGCTCCATTTTCTTTTTGGAGTCCTTTGTTCGACATTTGATAATTTACCCATCTATTTGCACGACTAAGTTTACGGCATGGCTCTGATACCATGTTAGAGGACTCTCCACAATTGTATGATATTGTCCACTTTGAACATAAGCTCTCATGGTTTTGCTTTGGACTTCCCAAAATGCCTCATGCCCTAAATTAGTCGTGAGTATTATTTGTGTTGTGCTTCCACAATAGAGAGTATTATTTGTTTATAAAAACATGATCATTCCCTATTCCCTAAATTAGGGACGTGGACTTTCATCATCCAACAGTCTTCACTCAGGTCTCCCTTTTAATATTTTTTCTCTTTTTACTTTTTTATTACATATATGTATATATATAAATCCTATTATCGACATTATTGCAACAATCATATTCATATATTAATTTAATTTCACCATAGTTTTCACTACAATGTTACACTCTCAATTTAATTATTAATTCTAATGTTTCCACTTTATACGTAATATTAAAAATTATCAATTAATTTTGTTCATCTCTAAAGTGCATATTATACCTTTAAGTTAATATTTTACTAATAAGAGCGTGGGTAGCTAAAGTGAGCATAAACTAGATACTTAAAGTTAAAACCTCTAATTTCGTGGTTAATTAATGATACTTAAAGTTAATGATTAACCTCCCTAATAACAAAATTACCATTTTGGATAATGGAAGGTAGCCGCATTTAATAAAATTTTGGAATATTGTTGGGTCCAAAGTTACGAACAGTCTGACCCCGCCATTCCCCCGTCTCCTCCATTCGAAACGGCGTGACCTACACTCGCTCGCGCTCTCCATCCTCAACTCTTCTTCTGTCTCTCTACGTGACTGACTATTATTGTACTCTTTCTTTATTCCTCTTCCACTGCTCAGCGCCCACATGCACGCCCCCTCGATGTTCTTACCCTTCTGTTTTCTTCCCTTTCAAACTTCGAATCCCAATCATCGCCTTCTCTGTTTTCTTTGTCTCCTTAAGTGTACTGTTGGGTTGTGGGTTTCGCTGAACACAGGGGCATACGATGAACGCGGCCGGCAGACAGGTTTCGAAATCTAATCCGGCGCTTCATCACCAACGGCAGTATTCCGATGATGCTATTAATGTTCTTTCTGGAAGATGGGCTCACCCTTCTAATCATTCTCATGTACAGTACAGCATTATCGATTGTTTGGTTTAGTTGTATGCCCTTTTCTGATTGATTTTTCTTTTGGGGGCTTAGGATTTTGGGTCGAGGGCTAGCAGGGGAATGCAGAGGAGTTTCAATGATCTTGGGTCGGCTGATGCTTTGACGCCTCAGTCTCGGACGCGGTCTTCGAGCATGAGGAAGAATGCGGATGAGATGTTTCTTCCCAGTCATTACAGCCCTGGTTTGCTCGATCTTCATGCTTTCGATACTGAATTGTTACCCGAGGTTGCGCTAGTTTACCCTTTTCTGCTTCGATTTTACATTCTTTTGAATTTCCTTAATATGCGGATACTACCGATGTGCCATTTGTTAGTGCGTGTGTGCTTTTATGGCTTCTTTGATTTTTGGGTCATGGGGTCTTTCCCATTTCTCTAATTATCAGATAGTTGAAGTTTTTCCTCTCTTATGATTCCAATTTGATTTCTCTTAGTTGAAGTTTTTCCTCTCTTATGATTCCAATTTGATTTCTCTTCGTTCTAATAAAGTTTGTACTAAATAACTTGAGTCTATTAAAGTTTTTACTTCATCATTCACTTCATTTTCTCAGACCACTCACCGTAAAATTCTGGATGAACTCGAGCCATTTTTCGCTGCTAGTATGCTGCCTAATAAGCCTGGAGGTGCATCAGATAACAATCTTCTCAAAAGCTTTTCAGTTGACAAGGAAAGAACCAACAATGTTGCAAAGATCAAAGTTGTGGTATGTCTCCTCGATGCCATTGTAATATCTCTTTGACTCTCAAATAAGCAATTGCAACGCTGAAGGGTATGTTTGGGAAGGACATGTTTGGGAGTGAAAATCACTCTCAAACATACCCAAAGTCTTCCTATAAGGCTCTCATCTTCCCTCTCTTGCAGTACCACTCATCTGTATTGAAGACTACTAGTGCCTTCCTTTTATAGTACTTTTTTTGGCCTCAACGTAATATGAGCTTGGAGAGGGTTCAAGAATTTGCTTTTCTTTTATAAGGCTCTTTGTAACTGAGTAATATTTTGCGTAGTCTTTTGGTGAAAATGCAAAAATATGCCGGCAACATGACCATAGGCAATGAAGGGAGGCTCTTCTAATTGTATGTTATTACTTTCCTCCTTACAGGTGCGCAAGAGACCTCTAAATAAAAAGGAAATGACAAAGAAAGAAGAAGATATAATCACTATTGAGCGAATGTCGAATTCCCTTACTGTTCATGAAAAAAAATATAAAGTAAGTGCAACATGCTATATTTGAATTCCAAGTATGAGAAAGCCACAAAGGTTTTTTCCCCCTGAAAATCATCCCTTCTGTAGGTAGACTTGGCAGAGTACATTGAGAAGCATGAATTTGTCTTTGATGCGGTATTGAATGAAGGCGTTTCTAATGATGAAGTAAGTACAAGACATAGATGAGTACCATTATGAACATTGAAATCCGTTCGACTTCTAAACATTCTCTCGTGTTGATGCAGGTATACTCAGAATCTGTGGAACACATAGTTCCTCTTATTTTCAACAGAACAAAAGCAACTTGCTTTGCATATGGGCAAACAGGCAAGTTATCAAATTCACATGAAATTGTGTTCGGATGTGGGAACCATAAGATGCTACGTGCTTATTGAACATTTGTAGAGGGATGTATATGTTTTACCTATTAGATATAGATCAGTTTGTGATGATTTTGACTTAGATGGCTATCTAAAATAGTTCCATAATCTTTTCAAATAGATCACATTGATGTGCTTGTTCAGGTAGTGGAAAAACATATACTATGCAACCTCTTCCTCTAAAGGCGTCCGAAGACATTTTAAGATTAGTGCACCACGTATACCGGAACCAGGGTTTCCAATTATTTGTCAGCTTTTTCGAGATATATGGAGGGAAGCTTTATGATCTCCTCAATGAAAGGAAGTAAGTTCTGTTGAAATTGTGGAAGAAAATGTTTGAATTCAGTTCACTTTCTGAATATATCATATTTCAGAAAGCTTTTCATGAGGGAAGGTGGGAAGCAACAAGTATGCATTGTCGGGTTGCAAGAATACAGGGTGTCTCATGTTGACACGATCAAGGAATTGATTGAGAGAGGAACCGCCACAAGAAGCACTGGTACGACTGGTGCAAACGAAGAGTCATCTAGGTCACATGCTATACTTCAGCTTTGTGTTAAGAGATTAGTTGATAGTTCCGAAACGAAGCCTGCTCGACTTGTAGGAAAGCTGTCTTTCATCGACCTTGCTGGAAGTGAACGTGGTGCAGATACTACAGATAATGATAAACAAACAAGGTCTGAATTTACTTTTCAGAAAACTGGTTGCTATTACATATTGGACCTTATAGTACTTTAAGAAGCAGAAGATATAGAGTTTTCCCGTTTTTTTTCTCCCTCTCTCATGGTTTGATTGACTTGGAAACATTTGTGCTGCAGAATGGAAGGTGCTGAAATTAACAAGAGTTTGCTTGCTCTTAAAGAATGCATTAGAGCTCTTGACAATGATCAGGGTCACATTCCTTTCAGAGGCAGTAAATTAACAGAAGTTCTTAGAGATTCTTTTGTTGGTGATTCACGCACTGTTATGATATCATGTATTTCACCAAGCTCAGGATCATGCGAACACACACTCAACACGCTAAGATATGCTGACAGGTGCGTTATTTTCGGAGACGTTACAAAGGTATATCCCATTATTTGTTAAGTATGTTTTATGATTGTCCCTTCAGGGTAAAGAGTCTATCTAAAGGGAACAGCACTAGGCGGGATCCTTTATATTCAACTTCAAATCTTCGAGAATCAACAGCTTCTTTGTTGTCTTCATCAGTACCCATGGAGCAATCCCTTGAGGATAACAGAACTTATTTACCAAATGACAAGAACAGATTTGGTTGGTCCATGCAGAATGTAAGGGAAGGTACTCCACCGTTGAATGTCGAACGTATTCCTAGCAACAGGGCAGTCATAACTTTGCCTCATCACAAAAGTCAGCCAAGTTTTCAAGATGATATTGGTTACCCCGAGCAGCAATATGAACTAGAGAAATCATCATGGATGAACAATAAAATAACTGAAACTCGACAAGTGCCAGGCTTTGTCAACCAGAAGAAAACTCGAAGGGACATACATGATTTTGAGACCGACTCTCCTTCGGCTGATGACCTTGACGCTCTTTTGAAGGTAATAATATTGTGAATATCAAAGCATCAAACGTCCACATAAACCATCTGACTTTAAATGACATCGTACTTTCTTTATAACAGGAAGAAGAAAACCTTGTTACTGCTCATAGGAGACAGGTGGAGCAGACGATTGACATAGTCCGAGAGGTTCACAACACTTTTTCCTTTTCATTGCATAAGATATACGCCGTCTTTAGTGGCTCTGCCTGTTTAGACCTTGTGTAATCTTGCGTGCATATACAGGAGATGAACTTGCTTGTTGAAGCTGACCAACCCGGAAGCCATTTAGATGACTACATCCTTAAACTAAATGTAATTCTATCCCAGAAAGCTACAAGCATTTTTCAGCTGCAGACTCAGTTGGCTCAGTTTCAGAAACGTTTGGATGAGTACAATGTTTTGGTGGCACCCTCCAGCAACTGAGCCAGACACCTCCATTGTTTTTCCCTTCCAAATTCTTCTCTTGCACGGGCCTGAGGGTGCTGGTCGATCGAACTTGATTAGGTGTGTGGTCGACGAACAACCAAGTTCTTCCCTCAGAGGTGGTTTAAGTTTTCTTGATTGTATAGAAGATATATTTCCTGTTTATAGTGTTTTGTATTCATGGATGTCTGTCTCTCCCTCTGAGCTGCTGCAGCTGCTGCTATTATGAGCAACAGACAATCAAGAAGGTACACATGATTCTGCTATTATGTTTTGATCATCTCATTTACTCCAAGTTTTCCTTTTCCTTTTCCTTTTTACAATATTACACTATAGACTTGTGTTAAAAAAAAAAAAAAAAAAAAAAAAAAAA